TTCTGTCTGAGGAAGTCCAATTACTCTTAGGTTCGGTCTCTTGAAGGTTTTGTTCTTATTTCTTGAAGGTTTTGTTCTGTCTCTTTAAGCTTCTTTTCTATGTTTTTGACAGTTTGTGTTAGTTCTATATTTTGGTCCTCAAGCTCTGAGATTCTTTCTTCTTCTTGGCTAATTCTGCTTTCCATGCTTATCAGTTTATTTATTTCATTCACAGTATTCTTTACCACTGTTATCTCAGTTATCAACTCCTTCCTAGTTTCCTCTTATCTCCCCTCAATTCTTTTTAATCTCTCCATTAATATCTTGATATCTGTGTTTGTAATTTGAGACCAATCATTCTGGGGGATCTTCATTGTTTGCATTCTAAAGTCAGTTTTCTCAGTGTCTGACCTGCTAGGGGTCTGTGAGAGATCCATATTCTTTTTTGGGTTTTTCTTCATTTGTGTAGAGTTTTCTCTCCCCATTTCCCTCCCCTTCTTTAATTCTGTTTTTCAGGGAAGGCTGTATTGCTTTTACTTCTTTTTTTTCAATCTCCTGTTCTTCCTTATGAGGGTCCTCTGGCTTTGTTCACTTTTGAGGCTGGATTGTTGGTTTGGGGGCTGTATTTTTTGCAGTTTTGAGGTTTAGTTGAGGGGGAAACTGTGATTCAGAATCTATCTGCAGATCCCAGTATCCACCAACAGGTGTATGGGCACACTGGAGTTCACTTCCCACTGCCTTACAATCTGTCCATTCAGTGGGGTTTAGGTTTGCTCCCTGGAAGAAAAGGAGGTAAGAAAAAGAAAAATAATGGCAGAAGGGAGGGTCAAGAGGAAGCTGGAGAGAGAGAAGAGTAAGAGGGAAAACAGACATACATACCACCTAATGAATGGAAAGAAACACAAGGCCATAAAAGAGTAAAAAACAAACAAACAAGCAAAATTCCCTAAAGCATTCTCATAATCACACAAAGACAGTCTAATAAAATCATGCCTTTTGATGTGTTTTTCCCCAACACAAACAGATAGTCTAATCAAAAAGCAGACAAAAGTGAACAAAACAAATAGTCAAAACAATAAAATCCAAAATCAAAATAAGAAACCAGACTAACTCTGGAGTCTTTCCTGAGTGTTTAAAGTCTCTTCAGTTCTGATCTCTAACATGTCCTCTTTGCTCTCATTACAGGCAGATTTGGTCAGTTCCCTTGGTTTGGTGCCTTGCTGCCTGAGGACTGAGTTGTTTGTGTCTGATTCAGCATAGGGGAGGGACTTCTGTCTCCTGTTTTGGTAGGTTACCTTAGAAACAAGGTGAGGCTGCTAGGAGATGGGCAGGGCAATGTGAAACTCGGCCTGGAAAATGGCTGTGGTGGGCAGCTCCTCTTTCTCTGATCCTTTCTCTCAACTTGACCCTTCTCTCCACCCATCTGGGTCCATCGATGATCCACTATGATGGGCGATAGTGTGTGTCTGGTGCCAGGAACTGGCAACCAGTGATACGGTTGAGTACTGCATCTGGTGTGCCACTGGTGGCCTAGGGTGGTGGAGGGAGGCGGGAATTTCCGCACTGGAGCCAAGAGCCACAGTGTTAGCAGCTGGTAGCAAACAGCAGCAGTCGCCTGCAGAGGCCCATAGTGCAACAGAGGTTGTTTGCTCTGTGGGACTGGCTATAGCAGCCACCACGCATGTAGGTGGCAGCCATGGGGGTGCATGGAACTGCCCCCAGGAGTCACCCTTAGTGGAGATCATCACATTTCAGCTTATCCTGTTGCAATCTTGCTCGTCTGTATAATATTCCATTGTGTATATGTACCACATTTTTTTTTAAAATCCCGTCCAGCTTCGATGGGCAACACAGTTGGTTTCATGATTTTGCTGTTATGAATAGAGCTGCAACAAACATACGTGTGCAGGTATCTTTTTCATAGAATAATTTGAATTCCTCCTGGTATATTCCCAATAGGGGAATTACTGGGTCATATGGAAGGTCAATTTCTAGTTCTTTCAGAAATTGCCACACTGTCTTCCAAAGAGGTTGTACTAGTCTGCATTCCCACCAGCAGTGTAGAAGTGTTCCTTTTTCTCTATATCCTCACCAACATCTGTTGTTGTTTGTTTTATTAATGATGGCCATTCTTACAGGCGTTAGGTAGTATCTCAATGTGGTTTTGATTTGCATTTCTCTGATGATGAGTGAAGCTGAGCAATTTTTCATGTATCTGTTGGCTGGATGGGTTAAGATTCTAAGAAGTGATGTGTGTGTGTGTGTGTGTGTGTGTGTGTGTGTGTGTGTGTGTGTGTGTGGTGTGTTTACATATATGCAGATGTGTTTTAAACAAAATCTTATGATGGGAGCTTTTAGATATAAGAAAGATTTAAACTATTTATTTTTTTTAATCCCAGTTATTCCAATACTGATTTAGAAAGGGCCAAAAAAAGTGTTCACTCAGAATTTGCTTTTCTTATTTCTTCAACTTCACTTAAATATGGATATATATTTAAACTAGGGAATGTTGTTTTGTATCCTTATAATTTCACTCATGTTCCTCTGTTACAATAAATATGCAATTACATAATAATTTGAATGGCAAAGTGGCATCCATCCATTCCTTCAACAAACCTACACTGGAACATTGGAAGCTTACCATGTCATTATAATCCCTGCTCTTATGGAAATTTTTTTTTTTTTTTGGAGTCAGAATCCCACTCGTTGCCCAGACTGGAGGGCTGTGGCACACTCCCCAGCCACCTTAGGCTCAACTTGCTGGTCTCTGGCAATCCTTCCACCTCAGTTTTCCAAGTAGAGGGAACTACAGGTGCACTCTACCACACCCAGCTAATTTTTGTTTTATTGTAGAGACAAGGGCTCGCCAAGTTGCCTTGGTGGGTCTTGAATACACAGACTCAGGCAATCCACTCACCTCGGCCTCCCAATGTGCTGGGATTACAGGCTGAGCCACTGAGCCTGGCCGGAACTTTTTATTTTCGAGAAATTGATCGAACAAATCTTTATCAGTATGATGAATATCTGTTACTAAACACAATTTAGGCTTTACCAGATATATAGCATGTGTGTTCTTTCACCAATATACAGCATTAATAGAACACAAAACTAACACTAGAATTGTTTGGTTCCAGCATGACATCTAGCATAAGTGGTCCCAAAGTGTGGAACTAAGATGCTGTGAGATCTTAGATTTTTACTCAGTCAAGTTAGGAGGAGTCACAGAATCCTCATATTGAACTTCAAATCATTCAAATGTGCTTGAATAAGCTTCATTTTGTCCCTTTTGCTTCATACTTTTTGTCAAGAAAGAATTTTATACTTGATATTTTTGCTTTTTTATTTTGTTTTATTGGTTTCAAATAGGATGATAAATTTGGGGAGTTAAAGTGAAATATAAAAGCTACAAATGGCTGATGTTTAATGGAAACTAAAAGCTGGCATGTCTGTGGGATTCCTAGTAAATAGTACCCCTTCTTTCTCTTTGGATTCTTAGAAAATTGAGAAATAATTATCAACTCTAGTTTTGTTGGAAGCCAAGTTAGAAAATAGAAGTTGCTGAGATAATCAAATGAGCATGTTAATTGAGCCCCATAATTAGGCCATCTTCTCTATACTACACTAGGCGGGAAGACTTTCTTGCTTTTACGCTAAAGGGTAATTTGGAATATTGGCATCATGGTGCAGTAGGAAAACCATGACCAACAGTTGTTAAGAGTGCTTGGGTCTGGGCCTGGCTTTGCCATAACTAGACATATTGTGTAGGACAAGACATTTATTGCTGTATTTAGTATCACTATCTACAGATAGAGATAATGGATAGTAGATTGGAATATATGGAGGTAATAATAAAGTCAAACAGTCTTTTCTCAGTATCTGTGGAAGACTGATTCCAGAACTCTCTTGGATACCAAAGTCTAAGGATGTTCAAGTTCTTATTTCAAATGGTGCAATATTTGCATATAACATATATGTAGCCTCCTGTATGCTTTAAATCATGTCTCAGTTACTTATAATACCTAATAAATTGTCTATACATCACTTATGTCTCACAGATTCTATATAGTACTTGTGTGGTACAAATTCAAATTTTGTTTTTTTGGAAATTTGTGGAATTTATTTTCTGAATATTTTTGATCTGTGGTGGGTTGAATTCACAAAGGTGGACCCCACAGATATGAAAGACCAATTGTATATAAACATAACCTATGTCAGTGTTTATATTGCCAGTAATTTACTGAAGAACTTCTTTGTATTATGAATGCTGGGGAAAAGTAATAAGTATGAGTAAATTATCAGGCAGGTGATTTAGGGCAGCCGTTTGGTAGAGGGAACTAGAACAAGGGATTTGGAGTTAACTGGTGCTTAATTCAAGGTCTGATTTGCTGTGTAATGTGTAACTTTGAGTGTTATTTAAAGTCTCTAATTCTCATAGCTCTTTTCTGCAAAATGTAAACTCTTCTTTTTGAGAGTGATGTGAAGATCAAACAAGAAAATATGTGTTAAATGTTCATTACAATGCCTGGAAGACAGATTGTGTTATATAAATGTATGTTAATACTTTTCTTAGCAAGATGGGAAGAACTAAAATTCTTTTGGCAAGAAATGGGAACAATTATATTCTAAGTGGAATAAAATAAAATAGAATAAAATAAAATGGATGTTAATTTGGCACACAGAAGGACCATTGAAGGATGCTTCTTAGACTGCCACAAATCTATATCTTCAATCAGGCAAAATGAGTGGTCCATTATAGGGACAAGAAATCTGCCTTTAACTCTTTTCCTTGCTCCTTGGGTTACATACCCAGAAATAAGACATCAGTAATAATTTAATTAGAGCATTATCTATGGGATCTCAGGGCTTTCAGAGGCACCCAAATATAAAATATTATTAGGCAAACAAAATATAATGCTTTTGGAGGAAGTACTTTCTATTATGTGCTAATTTATTTAAGAAAAGGAAATTAGAGGACAATTTTAAAACAATTAATCTTCAAAATCCATTACAAAACTGAAAATTTATTCCCAAACAGTAAGTATAACATTTTGGAACACTCTTTTCAGAGATCTTTTTACTTCCTTGTTCCTTAAGGAATAGATTAATGAGTTAAGCATGGGTGAGACAACATTATTTAATATTTGCACCATAGCACCAAGCAAGGAGTTGGGTATAGGCTGAAGATAGACGATGATTACAGGTCCATAGGCACAGAGGATGGCAGTGAGATGTGCGCTGCAGGTGGAGAATGCTTTCTGTCTGCCCTCTGCTGAACGAATTCTCAAGATGACAATCCCAATGCGAGTGTAGGAGACACAAACAATGAACAAAAGCATTAAAGCCAGAAAGCCAACGCTGATGGAGCCCACTCTTTGGGCCAGGGCACTGTCAGTACAAGCCAGGGGTAAAACAGCAGGGATATCACAGAAGAAATGGTCCACCTGATTGAGACCACAGTAGGATAGCTGAAAGGTAAAGGAGGTTAGTATGGTAGCCTGAAGACAACCCACCAAGCAGGCTACCATGACCAAACTGACACAGACTCCAGGTTTCATGATAAGCATATATCTCAGTGGGTGACAGATGGCAACAAAGCGATCATAAGACATCACAGAATAGAGACAGCCTTCAGTAGAACCCAGAAAATGATAGAAGAAGAGCTGTGTAGCACATCCCTTATAAGAAATGACTGGGCTCTGGCCAGAGAGATAGCATAACATCTTGGGACAGGTTACAGATGGGAACAACATGTCAAAAATAGATAGGAGTCCCAAGAAAAAATACATGGGGGTGTGAAGGGTAGAGGAAGAAATGATTGCTATAAGGATGAGCAAATTTCCAAGCAAGGTGAAGAGGTAGATGAATGAGAAGATAACAAAGAGCAAAGCCTGTAGACCCTCTGTCTGAGGTATTCCCAGTAGAAAGAACTCATTCAGCAATGTGTGATTTCTCATGTTCATGGAAGAGTGATCTGAGTTTTCACAAAAGATGTGAAAACATGAATGTGGAGGCTGATTGTGATAGATGCAATAGCAATATATTCATTGGCACCAATATTTGTTTAAACAAAAACTTGATGTCAAAACCAAGAATTAAAAATTCTTCCAAAGACATTTAGGTTAGTAGAGCACATGTATGCCTTTGTATTTTGAGATAAATTTCTTCACAAATATAGATACAAAGTAAAATGCAACATTAATATAGTGAAATACGGGATGGGTCAAGAGAACAAAGATCTCAGTACTCAACAGATGAACATAATTAATGTCTACAAGATACTATACAATTGAATGCCCTGACAAAACACCAACCTACAAATCTAGTCCTTCTGATTCATTTTCAGAGCATTTCTACAGTAATTTAAACATGTGGTCAAATACCTTAATTATTCATCCAGGTCAATTCAGTCACCCACACCTCTGATAAGAACAACGAACCGAGATACAGTGCAATGAGCATCAAGATTTAGGTTGTATTAATATTCTAAGTGAATACACTTTTTAGTTTTAGAACGTTTTTATTTGAAATGAATATTTTTTGTCTGAAAATAAATTAACAGTGACTAATTTGGCTCTTACCCTAGGGTTTTGAGTTGTTTAGAGATTAGCAGCTAAGATGTATTAATACATCCTAGCTTTTAGGTTTTAGTGAAGTCATATTATATATAAAAATGTAAATGATGGAATATTTAACCTTTGCCAACTATTAGGATTTTTGAATCCTTAGAATGATGAAACTAAAATGTTTCAATCCTAAAACTTCTTGTGTACTTTCTACTTTTTAAAAATTTGTGTTTTTATTTTGCTGTGGTAAGAACACAACATGAGATGTATTCTTAACAGGTTTTTAAGTGTAGAATACAATTGTTAACTATAGGCATACTGTTAAACAGCAGATCTCTGGATTCATCATGAATTACTAAAACTTTATAGCCATTGTTTAGTTATTCCTGATTTCCCTCTCTCCCCTGCCCATGACAAACACCTTTCTATTCTCTGCTTTTATGAATTTGACTATTTGCTTTATTTTAAGGGAAAAAGAATTCAGGTAACAGAATATGCTTGAGACCATGTAACTACCACTAGGGCATGCTGTGGTCAGCTACAACAATGCTTGAGTATAAAGGCTCTTGTGGCTCATCCAAGAAGAGATGATGTTTTCACTTCCAGATTTTACTTTTATGGGTTTTTTGAGATCCGAAGTCTATGAAAATTATCTAATTATAATTTCTTTAATTTCTACTTAAAATTGCTGGTCAATTTCTCTGATTCTCTGTTATAAGTAATAGTTACAGATGGATAATTTTAGCCTCCAAAAACATTGAAAGTGGTAAGATAGATAAATACTATCCTTATAAGCACAAGATGTACTGATGGAAATGGATTCAGGTTTTATTAGACTGCAAGATCCCTGAGAGTAAAGACTCCAATTTTTCATGGAATCTACAGCATTTATCACAGTGATTGTAAATAGCTGGCATTTAAATATTTGATGAATGAATGAATAAAGACTTGAAAATTAATGCATAGATATACTCTGATTATAAATCCTATGAAGAGCCTATATCTATTCTTATACACCACTGTATCTCTAGGATTTAAGAAATTAGATGCATTTAGATATTCACCGAAACTTAGAATGTCTAATTGATGAACTAGGAAAGATAGAATGAGACTTGAATATCTTCACAATTGCTGGCAATTCATAATTACCTCTTGCTGCAGGAAAACACATACAGGGTGGACGAGGGTAGAGATAAAAGGAAGGAAAATGAACCTCCCTGGAGAGAAAGAAATCGAGAAAGTCATGCAATTAGTAGAAAGTTCTGTAACAAAAAGGAGAGGATGTAAAAATGAATTAGTGTAAAAATATCTTAGATAAACAAAACTATTCATACAGCCATAGGTATTGGAATTGGATAATATGTCTTAGTTTATGTGATAATTCGATCTAGAAGAATGTTATCACGATATATTAATGAAATTGATTTACAATATATAAATGACATCAATTTACTTTATCATCTTATGGTAACCAGCCTATAGAAATTCTGTTTATTATATTAAACTTTTTGAATCTTTGAGTCCTTTTGGGTTTCTTGTTAGAAGAAGACCATGATTCTTCACACACACACACCCCCCCCACCCCCCTCCCCGCAAAGCTACTTTTGTCTGCTCCCCCTGGGGGTCATGTAGACCTAAAGTCAGTTTGTGCTTGTGATGAAATTGTTGAAGAAAGAGTGCATGGCCACTGGGTGGCCTCCATGCTCTAGATTAGGCATGACTTCACATAGGCATCTGGGAAATTTCTGAACAATTTCAATTTGGCTCAATGAACAGAGAGGGCAAATAGATGATCTGCTATGTAGGTATTTTAACATATCCCTAGAAAAAGACTTACTAGCATAGTACAAAAAATGTAATATGTGACTTTTAAACCAGAAAATGGGGATAAATAGAAAAAGAAGTACTTTGAGTGTTAGAGATCAAGACCAAGTGAATGGAAAAAATATCTCTGAAAGTGTAAAATGTAAAAAGCATGCTTGGTATATAGTGAGTATGCACTAAATGTTTGTTTCTGATTAACTGAGAAAATATTCACCTCTTAGAATATTGCTGCAATAATCAAATGCAATAATATTCTTGATGTAACTTCAGAAAAAACAGAGCATACTATTTCTATCTTTCTTGAGGGGAATGGTGGGAAAATGGTGGGGAATGGTGATGAGGAAAGACAAGATTTTTCAAGTCAGGCAGATTCGGTTTTAAATCTAGGTTCTTGCCTCTAACTTTGTGAATCTGCTGCGGTTTAAGTTTATTTATATATAAAATAAAAATAGTATCACATTCTAAAGGCTGTTCCTGCAATCATCAGGAAAGACAGCGTAAAGTCAGGACAAAACTTTGATAAATACTACATTTTAGAAAAAGGAGAATGGAAGTGAGTCATTTAAAAAGAAATACATATATATTTCTCAGAAAAGTAGAAAGAAAATCAGGAGAGTGTCTTTTTTGTATATTTTTCTACCAGAGATAATGCAGGATAATGTAGTATGAAGCATCTAATAGAACATCTGACATATTGCATGTGTCCAGCAACTTTTATTTACTCCTTCATTCTAGGCAAGGGTAAAAACACTCTTGTAATATACTGATTTCATATCAGTATGCACATAACTAAGGCTAGATAACAAGTTTAAGAAAAATGTTCAGAAAATACCCCTGAACACCTGTGGAAGTCTTCTCTGAATTACGTTGAGGTAAAAAAAATAGCATGTGTGATGGAGAAAATTGGGAACCATGACTTAACTGCCTACCATTTCCAATCATTCAAAACATAGGAAAATATTAATCATGGCAATATATGGCATCAGGAATGGACAAAGTGAAACATGAATCACATTGTTATTGATTGTAAAGATGGTCAGTATAAACATGATTTTCTGTGAAATAATTCAAAGCAAATAAAATCTATGAGAGATATTTCATGCAAGTAACACCATTTCAGGTTGAGATTTTATTAATCATGATTTTTTTTTTTTTGAGTTGGAGTCTCACTTTGTCACCCATACTGGAGTGCAGTGGCCGTTCCTGGCCACTGCAGCCTCGACCTGCTGGGCTCCGGCGATCCTTCCGCCTCAGCCTTCCAAGTAGCTGGAACTACAGGCACGCACTACCACGCCCGGCTAATTTTTTTTTTTATTTATTGTATAGATGAGAGCTCACCAAGTTGCCCAGGCGAGTCCTGAACCCGTGGGCTCAGGCAATCCACTCATCTTAGCCTCCCAAGGCGCGGGATTACAGGCTGAGCCACCGAGCCCGGCTAATCATGATTTAAAAAAAAATCTTGTGTTTATAACTTCAGATACTATATTTAAAAATCTTAAACATTTAAGTTCCTCACTATTTCTAGACTCATGACCAGACAAGTTCATAGACATCAAAGATGCATGGAACCAAGAATGATAATTTAAATAATAATTCAGGGTTGCAACCATAATATAAATGAATACAGCTTTCCTAAAAGATTAAATCAAATCCAAACCCTTGTCTAGGAAAGAGACATCTTGACATATTAGAAAAACTTAAATTAGAGGCCTAAAAACCGAAGTTCACGTTCTGATTTTTAGGGGTGTATGGGCCAGTAATTTATAGTCTCTGAACCTCAGCTTCTCATCTTTACAGAAGCAGAAGTATTCCCTGCATAAGTGGCCTGAACCTTAAGTAGTCAGTTAAAACTTATCATTCCAACTAAGACACGTCTGAAAATAAAAGAGAGCATTATGAATAATTAAGGCAGGACCGTAGGGATAAAGTAGAAAAGTTCCTGCCACACCACTGAATCATCTCCTTAGCTATTTGCCTCCCATTTGTGTCTCACAAATCTATATTTTGACATCCACACTATAATTGTGCTTCTTGAAGATGTGGGATGCTGTTATAATTGTGTTTGGTATATAGTGAGTATCCATTAACTGTTTTTTAAAATCAACTGAGGTAACATTTATCTCGCTTAATTTCTATAAAGATTAAATATGATGATGTTTATGAAATATTTTGACATATAATAAGATGTTATATAATGATTCATTATTATTATATTTACTATAGAGTCCCATACTAAATAATTTGGGAAGTTACCTGCATAATGATGATAGTCGATGTCTTAGACCTGAATGAAATCACCAGGAAAGGCAGGGTAAAGTCAGGACAAAACTTTGAGAAATACTACATTTTAGAAAAAGGAGAACAAAAGTGAGTCATTTAAGAAGAAATACATATACATTCCTCAGAAAAATAGGAAGAAAATTAGGAGAATGTCTTTTATGTATATTTTTCCACTAAAGATTATTATTTTCTTCATGTCATAGACATATATTTTCTCCATGTCAAGAAATACATTCAAGTACTTTTTAATCCTAAGCAAATGTATGGTGCGTGGAACATGATAGATG